AGGAGTAGCTATCCTCTTTGCAGATCAAGTAGATTTCAAACCAACACTGATTAAGAGAGACAAACAAGGACACTACATCCTTGTAAAGGGAACAATGCAAGAGGAAGAAATGACAATCATAAACATATATACATTAAACACTAGTGCACCCAACTATATAAAACAAATACTAATGGACATGAAAAGTTATATATGCACTAATACAATTGTAGTGGGGGACCTCAATATTCCACTGTCACAAATAGATAGATCAACTAGACAAAATATAAGTAATGAAATACTAGAACTCAATCAAACTCTTTCCCCCCACACTTTTTTTGGTATTGGGGATTGAATTCGGGTCCTTGTGCTTGCATAGCAGGCGCCGAAACCACTGAGCTAAATCCCCAGCCCTCAATCAAACTCTTGAAAAAATGAACTGAACAGATGTTTACAAAGCGTTCCACTGCACCAAATCAGAATATACATTTTTTTCAGCTGTACATGGGTCATTCTCCAAAACAGACCACATACTTGCTCATAGAACATGTTTAAATGCAAAGGACTTGACGTTATGCCCTATATATTACCAGACCACAGTGCAATAAAACTGGAGAATAGCAAAAGAAACTGCAAAAATTTCATAAACACATGGAAATTGAACAACACACTTGTGAATAAACAATGGGTTACAGAAGAAATTAAAGAAATCAGACAGTTCCTTCAATTAAATGACAATGATAATACAACATATCAGAATCTATGGGATACAATGTAGCTGTATTATGAGGGAAATTCATAGTAGTGAATACTCATATTAGGAAAACAGAGCGAGCCCCATTAAACAAACTGATGATAAACTTCAAGATTCTAGAAAAAGAAGAGCAGGACAAATGCAAAGCTCATTCAAGGGAGGAAATTATAAAGATCAGAGCAGAAGTCAATTCAATGGAGACTAAGAGAATGATACAATATATCAATGAAGCCAAGAGTTGGTTTTTCGAAAGAACCAACAAAATTGACAAATCCTTAGCCAACCTTATCAGAAAAAGGAAAGAAAAGGCCCAAATCCATGCAGTTAGGAAAGAAAAGGGTGAAATTACAACAGACCCAGCAGAAATCCAGAGGATCATCAATA